GGTTAAAGAATCACCCCCCCCCCCCCCCCCCCCAACACTTAAAAATTTTAATAGTAGGCCTTCTATGTCAAAAGGAGTTTTTAGCTCTTTTTATTTTTTTTAACGAGGTGTAGCAGTCCCTTAAAGTGTCCCTGCATCCCAACAGACACACATGTCCTACAGCTGTTACTAGTTGTTAACCATGTTTTTATTGCAGATGAACTAAAACAATCAGAAAATATTTCAAGTACAGCAAATAAGTATCTTCAGCTTCCAGTTCCACGGATAACATCAGCAACGACTGGAGTTCCCCCATCCCGGGGTTCAGAGGCACGGAGTATGTCCTTTGGCACTTATGTCTTTACACCACAGGTAAAAACTGTAACAATCCCTCTGTCTTCTTATTTTAAAAGCTGAATATACTTTAATTGTAAATTCCATTCTACGATTCCCTTGGTATTTTTACATTCATTTTCCAATGTGAACAATGCGTTGAATTGCCTAGGACCAATACTTCATGGTAAGATTAATGACAGTATTGTCACAGCTGACACTGCTGGATGCTACACAGAGAGGTACTGTTTAAGAACAGAGGTGGTTTGCTAGGGAATGTATGCTCCAACAGCCGCACATACACCAGCTAAGCTGTGGTGTGCCTGTAATAAAAGTGTGATTTTTTTTTTTCTCTGCTACTGTTGGGTCTGTCTAACTGCTGTTAGCATTCCTAAAGTTGGATACCATATAGGGATAAAACTACATCAAGTATGCAAGGCTATCATTAAAGAAGACTGAAAATAAAGTTTTCCTTGTGCGCATGTTTAGAAGTTCATGAATCAGTCAGTGTACAATATTTCATACACTGGGATTTGACCACAGACCCCAACAATAAATACTCTTATACCTGCTGTATTATTCATTTGTTTGGTATACTTTTTACGTTGACACATGCAAGTTTAATTGCTTGGTAACCTGGTCAGATTTTGCTATGTCAATTAATTTTTCAGAAAACTATATCTATGCGTGTGCATTTCATGCTGCACATTATAGACACATACAACATCAATGCAACATTATTGGCTGCTTATTGTGACAAACTAGGACCTTACCATAGATACTGAACATCAGTGTACAATCAGGTAGCTACGTTCAGTGATCTCAGACGCTATGCTCATGAACATGCACATGAGGACTTGTGATCCAAACCTACCCTGGGGGTTTATCTCTCTGTGTGGGGATGAATTGTTTGAGAATGTGATAGTTCAGTGGTCAGGTTGAGGTGGGATAGGCTTCCCTGAAGAGATAAATCTTAAGGGATCGCCTAAAGGTGGTCAGAGTGGGAGATAGGCGGACAGGTTGGGGTAGAGAGTTCCATTGGATTTCAGAGGCTCTAGTGAAGTCCTGGAGGCAAGCATGGGAGGAGTTGACGAGGGAGCTGGAATGCAGAGTGTCATTTGAAGAGCGGAGGGGACGGTTAGGGTGATACTTTGAGACAAGGTTAGAGTATCTTTTTCTAGAGAGTATCTTCTCTATAGGTTGAAGTCGATGGACTTGTGTCTTTTTTCAACCTGACTAACTATGTAACTATATAGCCAGGGGCAGAGTTGCGGATGGCTTTGTAAGTGGTTGTTAATATTTTGAATTTGATCTTTTGGGCGAGTGGAAGCCAGTGCAGTGATTGGCAGAGGGGGGTTGCAGACACTGAGCATTTGGTTAGGTGGATGAGTCTAGCAGCTGCATTCATGATAGGCTGAAGAGGGGATAGCCTGTGTAGAGGTAAGCCAATGAGGAGGGAGTTGCAATAGTCAAGACAAGATCATGCCCACCATCTCAGAAGTCCCTTATGATAATAATAAGGAAGGAAAAGGAATCACCAGCACTCAGTAGAATAGTCCAACATGTCCATTTATTGGACATAGACGTCACATAGGCTCTTGTGATTGTGTGACGTCTATGTCTAATAAATGGACATGTTGGATTATTCTACTGAGTGCTGGTGATTCCTTTTCCTATATTGTGTGTGCACGGTGCCATCCGTGTTCATCATTACAAGCACCATTGTCTTCATAGGCCTTGATTGCTGCAAGGTGTGCGGAGGATTTCACCCTTCTATCCTTATGATAATAGGTCTTTAAGATGCTTCAATGTATTAGATACACTAGCCTACAAACCTTACCCTAGCTGAACATTGAAAAGGTTATTTTGGATGTTTTACATACATTTTTGTGTTTTATCACCTTGGTGAACAGACTTTGATAACATTCTGCGGTATAGCTATTTTTGAAAACCTTTACATAATACATTTTTCAAATTGTTTTTTACTTATTTTTCTTTTTTTTTGCAGACCAGTCGTAACGTAAGTGGTGACCTGAATGGAGTAATGACAATACAAGCTAAACCATTACAACACAGAAATTCTGCCCTCTCTGAGAAGACACAGTACGTATAGATTTCATATGTCAAAGTATGCACTGTGAACTTAATTCTGCCCCTGCATACATTTGGGAGAGACATTACTGCACCAGTGATATGCAGTAAACACTTCACTGAGCACTTTTGTATTCTAGGACAATTTATCGCCTGCAGTAGTTTATAAGGATACAGGTTGCAGGAAAATGCTCGACCAAACAATGGCTGCATCCAATCACATGCAGTCACTGTTCGGCTATTCAGGCAGCCTATAGCTGACAAAGGAGATTCTTCCATCCACACTGCTTAGCATGGATAGAGGAATCAAGTGATTTTCTCTCAATCAGTCTGTGGGCTGAATGAGAGAAATTTAAAATATGGCTGAGAGTTGACTTCTCCTTATAAACTACTGTTGGCAGTGACTTCACCTGGATGATAGATGCTCCATGCATTTCAAGCGGCAGCACTTAGCAGCTTTAACTGATATGTTTTTTTTTTTTACATTTGGTTTGAGAAAGCTCTGAACAAACTATTTAAGAAAAGCTGTCCAGGCCCCTTTTTATACTTAGATTTATATATGCAATTACACTACGTAGTTTAATTTATGATTTTTCCATTGAAATGATCTCAACCATACTAATACAGTGTTTTCTATTTTGTTTATAGTGAACAAGAAGACAAATCTTTAAACATTTTCCCCAGAGGATTGAACTCTGCACGGAACCGGTTAGGAAGGCTGAATGACAGCAGTGCTCTCTCATCCTCGCGCCTCCTGCACACTCCTTCCAGGAAAACACCTACACATCGCAGACTGCCTGCTCTCACTTTAGAGCCCATCCCATCTAAAACACCTAATGTTTACAGTGATGAAGTGCTCAGGGGTACAAAACTGTGAGTACAGCTCAGCAAACAACCAGCAGCAACATTTTACTTTCATGCTTTAGTTTGCATTAGGTTGAGTAGCAAATATAATGCTATTAGTAATTGTGTGATTCATGATAAGTTTATTGTTAGTCCTATGGCTGCATCCAATCCTCTTCACACAGGTACTACATTAAAACATATAGAACTTGTACCTTATGTATCGCTCCTGTATAACCGAATACTTTATACATTATTCCTCCTTTTGTATTGCTCCCTTCTGCCTACTAATCTGTAAACTCTTCCACTTTCTCTAACCCTCATTAAGCACACACAATACAATCCTTTGGATCTACCAACAGCTGTTTCGTACAAGGGGCTGCCTAATTGGATACAAGTTGATTGGATAGTTTAGGTCATATTTCATCATTTTAGTTAATCTAATGGAGATTTCACAAAGATCGTACAGTTTGATTGTTAAAGTGACACTAAACTCAGGAATTAACTCTTAAAAATGCATTCAAGGACCCTAAAGATTAACAACAATGTATCTTATCTGTGTATCACTCAGCTGTAGATCCTCAAATTATATCTGAATTGGTGCTGACACTGTGCTTCCTTCTGGAGGGAGGCTACTTTTGTTCCCCATGGTCCCTGTGTGTGTTGTAAAGTAGCCACTGCTCCAAGCTTGTTCCCCTGATGGACTACAATCTCAATACAAATTAGTAAACTAAACGTGAGATTGTAGTCCATCACAGGAACAAGCTTGGGGGCGGTGACTACTTTACAACACACACAGGGACCATGGGGAACAAAAGCAACCGCCCTACAGAAAGAAGGACAGTGTTGGCATGAAAAAACTTTCATGCTCTTTATGTCACTACCATTGATGCTATTTGTAACATAAATTATTGTTGGCTACACAATACATACACAATATATGGTTTCACAACTCTATAAACATGAGCAAAAACTGAGTTTTCCAGTGACAAGACCAACAACAACAACAAGTGCCCAACAGAGGTTCTCACACTCCCTTGCTCTGTCCAAAACTAATCAAATTTTTCCATTGGAAAGAAGCTCTATCTGCATCATCCCCAATTTCGTTAAAGAATCATGTTCCCCTCATGCCTCTAACAATAAGGACAGAATTGACAATAATGACTTATTGTGTCAGTAAACAAGGAGTTGTAGAGGAAGTCACTAGAGTTTTTCAGAGAGTGAGGCTCTGGGCTGCATATTAGCCGTCCACCTTTTGCAAAGAATGTACATAAAGATGTTAACTGGTGTTTTTCTGTGATTTTTGTTCTCTTTTAAAATAGAACCCATCTTTCCCAGTAGGAGTAAATGTAGTTCATACATATAGTATGTGGCATACAGCTGTAGTTTGCTGGTATAGGAAGCATTCGATGACATGACCAGGAGTGTTATTCTTTTCATTTTATAGATGCTTGTCTAAAGCTGGCCATTTATGTATAGTTGTTACCATGTGCAGCCTGCAGATTGAACAAGAGACAACTGCTTGTTCCCCCCATCCACGTTAAACAGTGGGATGGTGAAACGTCTCCGGCCAGCTGTTGCATTCGGGTATCTTGGTAGTCGTGGGAGCCGGTTGCCAGAACAGTGACTGCACTGGCTGGCACATCAAAGGATTTTAGTAGTGGATGTGGTTTTTTTTTTTTTAAGCCGATTTCTTTTCTTCTTTTTATGTCAGATACACAGGACTGGACAGACTATCTTCACCATCTATTCAAACCATCAGGAATAAGTTACCCCCAATTAACTCTGATACAGTGGATCAACATCTGTCTGTACCTGGTTCTCGACATTCAGCTGTAAGCATTCATTTCTGTTTATTCAATAAAAAAAGTAGCTAATTTCAAGGAATTGAATTTGATATTGGTAAGAAATAACTAGATGCCAGTCATTTAGGGAGCATTTTTCTCCTAAATCTTTTAGGTAATTTAGTAAAGATCTTGTTCTGTTCTCTTTTCTATCCATCAGAACAGAGGAAAGCATCCTCATAGCCGGGTTTCTAGTGCTGTGCCGGATACCACGGGAAGACGCCCCCTACGGGAGAGAACTGTCATTGGGGAACAATTTTCAAGACCCAATACAACCCACACTTTCAGGGTTGGTTAAATTGTGTTGTGTTTGTTGTTTTTGTTTGCTGTAAACAAATATGTTTATTTTTTATATTACATGATTAGCTTCAAGCTGAACTCCAGGCAAACAGTGAAATAGATATATCGGAGAAATACATAGAAATTCAAAGATCGGAGTTGCTTCACCTGCAAAACAATTTGTATTTCTGTCCATCCTGTTGTGAAAAATACACAACCCCAGAGCAAGCTTGATGACCTGATTATTCTTTACTGCAGTGAAGCAATGCAGTTAGGTCACCTTCCTTCCCCCAGCATGTAATTGGACAGTGAAGGAGCAGTAGCAGCACAATGATGAGCCACCCTTCTGCTCGCACCATACTCTGGTCAAAATGTTCACTGTTAGCTTATCTGCACTGCAGCACACCCAACTGGCCCTAGTGCTGCCTTATTTTCTTTTTTTGATTAACATATAATTTCATTAATTGGTGTTTTATGTATATCAGGAGTTCAGCAATGAAACATACTGGTAATGTATAACTTTTTTTATTTTTTACAGTCAGAGACATCCCATAGAAGATCCTTTACCCCTTTGGACTTTGCTAATCATACATGGACAGGACAAGCTTTTCTAACAAGTAAGATTACATTTAAGTAACACCATATATTGTAAGAAGTACTCAAACCAGACCATGTAGCAGATACAATGTTCAATCATTCTACTTAGACAGAGCATAACCGCATATATAGGGGTCTAATCACTAAGCTGCTGAGGGCAGCCGAGTGAACAACCGACCCCAAGTAAAGTGAGCCGAACACTGTTCGGCTATTCACTTCAGGCTTGTACGGCTGATTTCAGCCGTACATCGGCTTGCTTTGCATGGCTTCGGGTCGGCCGAACATGCTCAGCATGTTCAGCCGACCCGAAGTTCAGAAGGAGATCGACTCAGCCGATCCAACATCTGGATCGGCTGAGCCGAACCTCCGGCAGGCTACTCACTGCTGTTCGGCCTATTCTTATAGATGCCGAACAGCAGTGAGTGAATAGCCTGTCCCTCTGAGGGACCGAGCAGAACAGAAAAATAGTTTTAAAAAAGTACAAAAAAATAAATGGAAAATGATTGTGCAGAGCTAGCAATGACAGCCAACTCCGCCCAACAGCTTTCTATTGTCCATATTTTTGCCCATAGGAATGCATTGCTAGATTCCTATTGGCTATTTCAATTTGCAACAGCCAATAGTAAATTAGCATTGTACCCGCTCTTTGCTGATGGACCTGATGGAGAATTGCACCAGTTTACTATTGGCTATTGCAAATTGAAATAGCCAATAGGAATCTAGCAATGCATTCCTATGGGCAAAAATATATATATATTTTTTTCTATTCTGACACGGCTCCGTGTCAGAATAAAGAAAAGAAAAAGCAGTGTTTCTCTCCTGGGTGGCCGGGAGCGGGAGACTCCCAGAGCGCCCGGGAGAGTTTGCTGTCTGGAGATCAGTGTCCCTGGTTAGCTGGTAACCAGGGACGCTGATCTCTCTGCAAGTGGCCGGAGCCAGCCGTAAGATCACGGCTGGCTCCGCCCAGCTGTCAGAAGCAGGCTGTCGGCCTGCCATTCGGCCAGCTTCGGCTTTCAGCGCGGGAGCTGTACGGGCTATTGTGAATAGTCCTGGCGCCGAAGCTAGCCGAAGAATCGGCCGAAGTTACGGCTAGATCATTCGGCTGCTTCGTGAATAGACCCCATACAGGTCTATTCACAAAAGGGTGAAGAGTTTGGAGAAGGCAGGAGAAGTGAACAATCTAGGACAACATAACTGAACTGGAAAGTGAGCTGAATTGGATACTTTTTCCAAATCGGCTATGTTGGCCTAGATTGTTTACTTCTCCTGCCTTCTCCAAACTCTTCACCCTTTTGTGAATAACCCTGATAGTCTCTTTCTTGTATTAAAGTGCAATCTTAGGTCTCGTTCACACCTAGGCGTATTGCATATGCGCGTCTGTCGCACGTTTTTTTAACCGCGATTCGCGGTAAAAAAGTCACGCGACCGTCGCGTTTTTCTGAAGGCTACTTGGCTGTATCCCAATGGAAACGCGCAACAAAACGGCCCAAAGTAGTACCTGTACCTTTTCAGGCGTGGGCCGTTTTGTAGCGCGTTAGGGACAGGCGGAAATACGCCAAGGTGGGAACGAGACCATTGAATACAATGGGATTTATATTTTTGAGCGTTTTGTAGAGCGTTCGTCGAGCGTAGAACGCGCTACAAAACGTTCAGGTGTGAACGAGGGCTTAATGTGAAGAAAAGTCCTTTCCAACTCTTATAACATCACCTCTCTCCACTGTGCTCAAAAAGTATATCTAGCCACACTCAACGACTCCTATTGTTTACGTGTTACAGATGAACAATTAGCGCTTTGGTGTATACTTAGGACCACTTTCTCTCCTTTGTTTTCGGATACAACGCTTAATCAAAGGGGCTCTTATTCCTCCTTCCACTTCTCAGTATTTAATAGGAATCTTTCCACACTCAATTTGATATCAGCTTCATCCTCCACCTTCTTATTAGTACATGCTCAGAGAAAAAAGAAATATGCTCCCCATTGTGCAGTATATCAAAAAGGATTTATTAAAAAAGGACCCGTCCAGCTGACACGTTTCATCACTTTTCGAGGTGACGGTCAACATACAAGCATCAAGATCTATGTTACTCTCTTATATCGTCCATTGTGATAACATTATCTGGCCACTAGACATCATTACAGAACAAAATACAATAGGGTATACAGGATCCCTTCATACGGACGTAATAACGCATGGACGCAATACCCTGAGCTCCGGTGTGTATGTGACATACTAACAAAACATATATCACTATTTCTATATATAGTGCTGTTTTTCTCTTTATTAACACCATATATTAATAACAAAGCCATAAAACTCAGTAAACAAATAACAATAAAAGTACAAATAAACAAATCCTCCAAACACTCAACTTTCAGGCCTTGTTCACACCAAGCGCGGAGCAGGTGCAGAGCAGAGCAGTTACAGACCGGAGCAAAACTGCGTCCAATGTATTCCAATGGTATTTTTAGCTCCAGTTCACATCGCAGCGTTCAGTTCCAGAGCAGGTAGAAAACTGCAGCAGGCCCTATTTTACCTGCTCTGGAACGCATCAAAAACGCCTGGAACGCATTTTACCAAAAGCGGCCCAGAGTGTATCAAAAACGCGGCACAACCCACTGCACTGCGTGTGTAGAAACCTGAGCGGATCTGCTCTGCATTTGGTGTGAACAAGGCCTCAAGATTGCAAAACACACAAAAACCATAATAGGAACATAAAATAACTTCAATCTCAATAACAAACAAATAAAATACTAAACAGCCTAAAATACAGACAGCAGAGAATAACAAATACAACAACATTAAAAACTGATAAACATGAATAGAAAGTCGTTCTAGAGAGCCTCAAAGAAAGATGTTTTCCTGTGTGTGTGTGTATATATAGATATAGATCTATATATATCTTTCAAATTATGATTTATTTTAGGGCTCATTCACACAGGCATGCACGCCTGTGCAGAGACCCAGTCCTGGGAGAGACAGGTGCTGTGTGTAAATTGCATGCAGCAGCCTGTGACATTTGAGGAGGATGCAGCTACATATGGATACACGCAGACCCGAACCTGCACATCCATGCAGGTCATGGTGCCCGCACTTGGACACAGACAGTGTGCATCAAAGTGTGGGCAACCGGACATGCACAGATATGCAGGTTCAGGTCGGTGTAGCCATGTGCAGCTGCATCCTCCCATAGGGAGGTGCAGCCTGCTGCACGCAATTATACGCAGCACTTGTCTTTCCCGGGACCGAGTCTCTGCACAGGAGTGCACACCATATGAATGTGCACGCCAGTGTGAATGAGGCCTTCAACAGATTTTTGTGCTATTATATATCAGTATAGACTTTAACCTGTTGAGCATTCCTTCTATGCTGGATTGATAAGAATCACATTTACTGATAGCCAATTCCTATCAGCCATCTATAAATAGTTCTACTGTAAGCAACAGGTATACTATATTTTCAATATGTGGACTATTCTAATCTATACAATTACCAACAAAATTACCCCTTCTCCACACCCCATTTCCAGCATTCCTGTCTGCATTAAAGTTGTTTTTTTAAACTTTAATATAAAATATAGGGAAATTACTACTTAATTTCAAGAGATTTTCTGTAGGTTTCTTCAGTTTAGCATACTTTAGTGCTGGTTTACTGGGAAACAAAAAGCAAACCATGCCTCAGAAATGCATTGATTACATTGGCAATGAAGGATTTTTTACATTGAAAGTGGAAAAAGACTTGAATGTATCACTTCATACAGTACTGATGTCTTGGTCATCTTGGGCTGGATCCAACAGCTTGCATATCTTTACTAGATTTCACTGATGAGCTCTTAGCCCTCGTTCACACCTGAACGTTTTGTAGCGCGTTCTACGCTCGACGAACGCTCTACAAAACGCTCAAAAATATAAATCCCATTGCATTCAATGGTCTCGTTCCCACCTTGGCGTATTTCCACCCGTCCCTAACGCGCTACAAAACGGCCCACGCCTGAAAAGGTACAGGTACTACTTTGGGCCGTTTTGTTGCGCGTTTCCATTGGGATACAGCCAGGTAGCCTTCAGAAACGCGCAACTTTTTTACCGCGAATCGCGGTTAAAAAAACGCGTGCCGTTCGCGCGACAGACGCGCATGTGCAATACGCCTAGGTGTGAACGAGACCTTAATGCCAGAAGTGAAACTGGTTGAGAAGTCTCTTATCTTCATGCTGAAATCTCTTTCATGACACATCTATAAGAATGGAATAGGGGGGATGAGAATCCCTTGCATGGAGCGTGGAGGTACTCGGATACAGAGATCTCCCTGGCAGATATGTATGAAGTTGGGGGTAGACTCAAATACTGACATCTATCCAAGACTGAAATAACTTGTTTTGGGTAGACTGGCCCTTTTATGTTTTCCAGTGTTCCAATTGATTACATCTACAAAACGGTTTAAAAATCATGCTGGACAGTGTCACAATATTATTGGGAATAATTAATTCTTCACTTCTTTCTAGACATGTGCACTGCCAAAAAATTTGTTTAGTTTCGTTTCGTTTTAAATTCAGATTTGTGTTATTTCGTTTTTCGGGATTCGGCTGTGAAAGTCAATTCGGAATTCGAATTCGGACGAAATTCGGTAGCGGTAGTTCGAATGTTCGTTTAGTTTTCTGTTCTTATTTGTTTCTTATTCATTTCTTATTCGTTTCGTTCGTTCGTTTGCTGCAAAGTGACATTTGAGGGGGACATTTTTTTTTTCTCCTTCTCTAATGTCACTTTGCTCCAACGAACGAAACGAATAAGAAACTAATAAGAAACTAATAAGAACAGAATACGAAACGAACGTTCGAACTACCGCTACCGAATTTCGTAAATGGAAATTCGGATTCGTTTGCATTCGTTATGTCTGTAATTCGGAATTCAGATACATCCGAATGTCCGAATTTCGATTCGGAACGAAACGAATCGCACATGTCTACTTCTTTCTTTTCCAATGAGAGGTCAAACAATAGCCCTGTAAAGCCATCTGGAGGGGTTGAGTTGGGCTTAACTCAGCTCCTTTATGTAATACCCCAACCTGAAGCTTCCACCAGAGCATGTTTGCATGGGTTATAATTTTGTTTTCTTTTATATTTTTTAATATTCAGAATATTTTTATTAAGTTTCGGAAAACTTACAACTGTAATACTCCAAAAAATATATATATATATTTTCTGAACTGTCTTTTTCCATTTAATTATAATTTCTATTATTCTGAAAGATTATAACAGATATTTATTTAAATGTTGTTTTGCTTTTTTATCAAGGTTCACAGTATCAACCAAAATCATTTCAGAGGAATCCACCGATTTCGAGAAGAAGGTTTCAAGTGGCCTCTTAATGAGCAGTAACACTGCTTTGCATCTAATCAATGGGTCCACAGCTCTCCCAACGCACATGTGCACAATTTGTAACAAAACTGGCCATTTTGATGAAGGACTATTAAGTGATACATTTAATAATATGGGGTCTACCTTGATATATTTAACATAATATAATTAAATAATGTAACTAGCACAATACAATTCATGCAGATAGCTGTGTAAAAAAATAACATGTTGCCCCCCCTGGTAATACTTCTGTATAAGTGTAGTAAATCGTACCCTAATGGACAAAGCACTTGTTAGCTATGATAATCATACAATAATTCCGGCCATTAGCAAATTTTTCAACAAAACATGGAATCCGAGTTCTTTAGCTACACAGATTTAAGAATCAGGTAAATACCTGCCTTGAAAACGGCTGCCTAGCCTGGAACTGTCTCAGCATAAGACCTTCGGGCTTATTTAACAAGGCAGACTAATTATGTACATTAACCTACAGCAACATAGCAGAAGTTACCTGTTATGCTGCAGGCATACCAATAAAAGATTATTGCCGATCAGTTGATAGTGGTTACTGCACTTAAATGAAGCATTTTGCCTAATCAACTATAGGCCACTACATATGATCTACTAATATAATCAGCGACTCTATTGGCATGACCTTTGCTATATGGCAAATAAGAGTAATACCCAGTGTTCCAATCTGCCATCATTGAACCTCTTTGGTTCTAGTGCCAAGTTGAATAGAAGCTTATTTGCCCTGACAATAATTTGTGAAATATACAATCTTGTGCTGGTAAATTTAGAAAACAGAAGCTCCTGTTGCACGAGTGGATGCTTCACTTCACCTTACAACTTAGTAAATTACTTTCAGCAGAGATTATTATTCTGGTATCGCCCACGTGGGAAGTGTTGTTTTAGAGTCATTTAACTTAAAGTGTACCTATACTGGATTAAAACATATTTTAGGTAACTGGCATATAATAGGCTCCATAATGTGTCAGACTGTACCTTTCACACCATGATAATCCTCCCGGAGAATCTTCCAAAACTCTATTTCCAATACCAGCTAAACCGTGTTTTTCATAGGCTTACGTACACCCGACGCGCCTAAGAATAACGACGACCAGTGATTGGCTTCTCATGAAA